CTTTTTTTTTGTTTTGTTTGTTTTTGTTGGGTTGTTTGTTTGTTTTTGGTTTTTGGGTTTTTTTTTCTTGACTTACTTTTAACATGCCATAAGACGTCAGAACAGAACATGACTGCCCACACATTTTTGAAGAACTGCACACTCACTTTCTTAATTATTTAACAGTAGGGAAGAAAGGAAGCAGAAAATAGGGGAAGGGGAGGGGAGGCCCAGTATGAGACTTTTTCCAGACAACACACAATGCTATTTTGACTGTTTCTGGAGACACGCATTATGTTATTCAGGAATTGCAAATTGGATTTTCTCAAGTTGCTTCTTATTAAGTGGAAAAATGGATTAAGGTGCTGCAATGGCGTACCGAGCGGGGAAAGCCAGAGGACATGTTGAAAGTTTGTAATAAGGAATGGACAATTATATTCATGTGTCGGCTATCTTGAAATGAAACGTTTCATTTGGGGAACACATAAGTTAAAATAAATTTGACGAAATAATGGTTCGATTAAATTCATGTCAGAGTTTGTTTGGAATAACTTAACATTTAGACTGATTTATATCTAACTGTTTTTAAGCCACATTTTAAAGAAATAACACTGAAGTTTGGAACCAGTGTTGTATTGGAGTCCATCACAAGTTTTTAAATGGTTCTTAGTGCTCTGCAAATAAGGCAATTCTTTGCTTAAGTTTTAAAAACACCAAACAGGAATGCTGCAATATCACGGTGTGGGTTTAACATCAAAGTAACACCCGCCAAGGGCGTTCGAAAGGATGACACGAACGCGCCGACCCTGAATACTGAAATCCTAAAAGGACACTCAGCTGCATGAAAATTGCATTTTGTTTCTCGACTCAGGATATATATGCATTTTCTGAATAATAACATTTGTATTTTTTTCAACGACCGAGCAAGTTCTATTGTGGAAAAAGGCATGATTCAGCAAGCGTCAAGTTTTAAATATTCGCCCACAGATAAATTAGTTGAATGTCCAAAAAGGAACTTGAATATTTTCATTTCAATTTTATACTGCCCTCCAATGCTGCTGAGTTTCAAGCAGGTTTTTTTCCATAAAAATGAAATTACTAGCCTAAAAAACGAAAGCAAGTCGCCACAGTAGGGGCCCACTTGTATTATCTGAGCTGAGAGTTTGCATGGCCGGGGATCCTAAATTCTTAGGTGGTATGCAGAATGTAACACGTGCAGAAGCTTTGCATGTCAACGAAATGAGGTCCTATTCTCTGTTAGGGTGAAGCCGTTATTTTAACATCCGGGAGATTAACATTGATAAGACTTTTAGCAACAAATTCACCCGTACTGCCTATCCCAGTGCGTCCAGGGCCCGGGGGAGGGGGTATTAAGAAAAGATTCCACATTTTTATCGTAAAAATTGCTTATCCTCCCTCCCTAACGGAAACAAGGTAACACCGTTCGTGAGATAACAGCGCTTTCAATGGCAACATATTTCATCACAGCCCCGAATTCAGAACAAATCTGATGCTGGGACCGCACTTTTCGCTCTTTTATTCCGGGAAGGCTGCAGTCACATCACCTGCTTCTTCCTTACTCAATCATGTATAGGGCGTATACATACGAATGTCGAACAACAGTTTCTTTAAATGCCCAACCATAAACGTACGTTTGTCTAGAAAATTTCGAAACAAAATGCTTTGCTTCGTAACAACTTTCCGTATCCTGGGATAGGAAAAAGAAAAAAAACCATGCAACTGCATTGTTATATGAGAAAAGTTGCTCTGGAAAATTCCTATCAGACCCCCCCAACGGGCGATCGAGAAGGTAGTAGGCTAACTCAGGGGCGTTGTATCTCTCGTATATAACGGGATGTTTCTTTTAGATTTGTTCATTTGTAAATGAACGGTGTGACGCTGTGACTGTGAGTGGCCTGAAACAAACCACCCAGCTCATCTTTTATAGCACTTGCCATTTCACTATCTACAAAAAACCTGTTCATAACTTATAGAAAATATAACAGGCGCTCTCACACGACGAGAAAAACATTTTCTTTTTATGTACATGCCAAGGGAATTAATTAACAATTCTCGGGGGCTCACCCCGCCCTGCCCTTGCTGGAGAAAAGCCAACCGTTGAAGAATCGACCAGGCCCAAATGCATCCCTCTTGTTCTAAATGGGCAAAATATTTGCATAACCATTTGTAAAGTTCCCGCCCAAACGTTAAAAGGGTGATAGAAATGTGGTCCGCAGGGTGTTACGCAACAGGCCTATCTTCATTCACAGACGTTAGTTTCCATTCTCACACCGGGTAACTCCCAACTTCACTGAAGTAGTCTTTTCATTCAGTACCACGTGGTCATCCAGCGGCACAATGCAATGCGCAAAATTTGAAGTATTTGCATAAACACGTTGAACAGGTGGTCGAGCACGGGCCTGCCATGCATTGTGGTAAAACTGCGCCCCTCTTAATGCAGGCTAGCTAACCAGGGTAAGTGCATATGGTTTCCAGTCCATACTCACTCTCGCAGGTTTTATCAGGGTACTCCAGTTAGCTCCTGCTTCGGAAACTGGACCTTCTTTCTAACTCCGTTGAATATGAATAAACTTATAGATATTGGCGCGAATAGCCCGAGTAGCCGACAGCACCATCTAATCAAAACAACGTTTTCAAAATGTGTTACAGATAACAGATATGTTCACTCAGAGAATGTGCTGCGGCTTTTAGGAGTTAAACGCAGAAAAAATCGCATGCCAACTGTTTCTTATTGCATTGTACCAAAAGCATGTCTTAAACTTCCACCAATTCCAGTAGGAAGTTTTTTTTTTTTTAATTTGTATGCTGTTTATGCTTAGCTTATGCTTTTAGTTTATGCTTAGTTACATTCAGAACGTCGTGGGCACGTCATTCTCTTGTAATCTACAGTTTACTTCAGGAGATTGCGTAAGAATTCATACCGTAACCGACTTTTTTATTTGCTTTCATTGCCTTCATTTATATATTGAAAGCAATAAATAGTCAAAGAGCCAAAGGTAACAGTGACAATGCTGAGGCATTCTCGTACAAAAACATGATTTTTCAGACCAGTCTGGTGGGGCTTGTGCACAGGGCGTAAGCGTGTATCCAAAAAGTCATGCAAAGTGGGTAACGCCTGTGTGTTACGAGCCAATTGCCTCGTCAAACAAGAAACACTGAGAATGTCCAAGTCTGGGATGCAAATCCGTCTCTCACTAGATTCCAAATCACCCAACCAAGCATTATTCTACCTGCTGGACCTGTCTTCAGATCAAACGGAGTGTAAGCATCTACCACATTATTGCCAAGCAGGAGTCCAATGTCTGCATCTATTTCTGGCAAACTGATGTCTCTCAGGTGATCCGACTTGGAGATGTCATCTGTCCTTGGGAAATGGTGCTTGGAAACCGGAATTGTGCCTTTGGTGTATGTGACTGGGAGATCAGTCTCATTCTTCATGTCCAAGTCACTTAACTTCATCGATGAGATATGTCTTCATTGAGTACGGATTCCCCATGGTGTCCAAAGTAATGAACTTACATGGACCACTTGCTCCAAGCTGTTGAGCCAATCTTTCACCGCAAAAGGTGACAGTGCTTCCAAGATCCATGAATGCGTACGTCTTTACAGCTTTTAGACCATCTTTGAATCTGACTTGAACTGGTACAATTGCCATTGTACATTGACCCTGCTGACTGCGAAGTTTGCACTTTCGCCTTTGCCACCATCTGGATTAGGTCGTGGTTCTGACATGGGAGCTCTGCTTTCATCGTGAAGACAGGTTGGATGTCGCAGTTTGCAAACATCACACACGGATCTGCGACGGCACTCCTTGCTCTGATGTCCTCGCTTAAGACATCCAAAACATAGACCTTTGGCCTTTACATAGTCTGTCCTTTCAGTTGGAGGCAAACTAGACAGACGTTTGCACTTGTCAGTAAAGTGACTGACGTCACTGCAGTATATGCACATTCTTCTTGCTTGTCAGACGTCAGTGCAGTTGACCCTTTGTTTCTTTCTTTGTTGCACCCTGTCTGCCTTGGCTTAGCACTTCAGACCTCTGTAGCGAAGCTACCCTTTGAACGATTTGTGTACTTGGTGATGGGCTTTGCACCTTTGCCTTTTGCATCTTGACTCAGTGCGTCTCTGCCATATGTCGGATCCATCACCTTCTTCGCTTCTTCCTTTGCAAACCTTACAAGTTGGCTAAATTGGATGGTCTCCCCCTTTTCTTTGGTTTACCGAACAACATTTCTCCACCTGTCATGCAGACATGGTGGGAGTTTTCCCACCAACTCCCTCATGTTGTCTGGATATTCAAGGACCTTTACTGCGTAGATGCTTTTCACAGCATTTTCACATTCCACCAGCAGGATGGAGAAATCATCAAGTGCTTTGGGGTTGTCTGGATGAACACATGGCCAATCAAGTGCTTTCTTAATGAAGGATTGGGCCATGAGATGCATATCTCCATATCTTGACTCCAACTCCTTCAGAGCTGCTGGATATCCTTGCTCAGACGGAAGGTGGCTAAAACCTAAGACAATTCTGTTTGCCTCTCCTGTAGTGAATTGCTCCAAGTAGCTCAGTCGCTCGTCATCATTTTCGATGTGTACTGCCACTTTCGTATTGAACTGCCGGATAAACTTTCGGTAGTCAGCTGGATCCCCACTAAACCACTTAATCTCAGTGATGGGTCTTTTCAGTTGTCGAACAACAGAGAGAAGGATGTCACCTGAAGTGGCAGTTTCACTTTGGTTGTTGCCACAGTGATTGTCACTCTCACCTGAAACAGGATGGTTATTACATGTTCTGGCATGCAATGGCACTGACAGACTTTTGCACTGTACACTAGCATTACTACTCTGTTTACCTTGTACTTGTGCACTACTTCCACTTTGGTTATGACTGTCTGGTACAAAACAATGAGCATTCACATTTAGTGCAGACTGGCCACCATTAGTCTGGTCTACTAAATCTGACTGTTTATTCGGTTGCACTGCTGCTAACACAGTATTCTCAGTGAGCTGCTTAACTGAATTTGGATTCTTAATAACTGAACCTGCATTAGATTGGAACTCAAAACTGTCCAAAGCTCATTCTTTTTCTTCAACAATGTTCAGTTCTATAGTCAAATTCAGCTCCTCTTCTTCCAGCTTCAGCTTCAATCTTGGGTTATTACTGTTTTTTTAATAATGTCTTCCAGTTCCTCCGTGCTTGAATGATCACACCCATACATCCCCTCGTGTTACACCCTAGCTGTTAACTAAATGAGCTGCACACTGTTCAGGTGGGGTGCGTTTGAACAAGGTACTCGTGGTATAAATTAAACACAGGTACTCTCCCAAAGCGCTCGAACGGCAGGAGTACGCCCCGTGGATATGGATCAGCGAGAAAGGCGGACGCGCCACCATTTGCAAGCTCGAACTGGATGATCGCTGATCTTGTGCGTTAACTACCGGTTCCATGGGTCCATGTAAAAGGTAATAAATGCATTTAACTTTAAGTGCATGTGCAGTGGGCGTGGTTTAAATTGAGGTGATGTCACAGTCATGCAGAAGGGAGTGATGCGCGCGAAACCTCAAGGGATTAAACGCAAAGATAGTACATCTTTGGATAAAAGGAGTGGCCGAGCGAACGCACCCCTTGTCGCCGGTGGAGGGCGCTCGCTTCGCGCATTCTAGATCTGATTGTACAGTATGTGCGCGCCCAGCTCACATACGCGGCGCGGCATGTTTGAAAGCCTTCGCTTGCTTATTGTTTGTAGCGTCTTGCGGCGCTAACGTTTCGCTCGCATACCGGTATCTAATTAATACAAAGCCAAACTTAGTCCGTCGTGAGGTAAGCTTGTTAAACGTCGGATGCTTGTACCACAGTGATTTTATTAATTTTGTCTTTTCCAGCCCATCCTAGTTTGTGATGTACAATGAATAAAATAATTAATAAAAAATATAAACAAATACAAATAATAGGCCTATATGATATGATGCCACTTGCACTTAGGGGATACTATGTCTAACCACCCATTTTTTTGTCATTTTAGACCATCATGAACGTTAATCTTGTAAAACTGGTCAGACCCCCTCCTCTATGGTTATCATGCATGGTCATGATGGCGATGCTCTCTTTATTGTGCTGACCCTATTTTTGGGCAATGTGAATCTAAAATTGAAAGAAAATTTGACTTTCTTACTGATAAATCAGCCATCATCAGGGCCATGCAAGTTTGATTCCACCATGTGTCATGTGTTGAAATTCTTGCAGTTTTCCCATAACTTCCCTCAAAACTACATGTATACCCTCTTTTGACATCAACTCATTATTTATTTAGCATGATGTCGTAGTCATCCACCAAGGTGAATCTGGTAGGTCTTGATCCCTTCTATAAACGGGGTCCCCAAGTACATAAGCCCCTCCACTTGACCAGTTGACACCCTGTGCACAACTTAAACCCTAGTTGTTGTTTTTCTTTTTTTAAACAAATGTCGAAGTGAATACTGTATCTGACCTCATAATGTTTTCACTGCTAAATTTGACTTTTTATTTTAGTACTTTTTTCTTTCAGATGGGTCACTGCAGGGAAAGGTTAGCATGGTTAGTGGTGTCAGTATATGGAACAAGTACTGAGCAGTTTCATTGTAATATGCACCATCTTGTTCATCACAGGGCAAAGGAAGTGATACGTTGGCATGCTGAGTGTGCATGTTAATTGAAAAACTTTTGTGCCTCCAAGTCATCATGCCTTCGTATCATGTCACAGTTTACTCAGTTACTGGGACACTGCTTGCGCGATATTAATTTGTTGTTAAAGGGCAGCCCGAAGAGTGGGAAGTAAATATAGGCTAGTTGTGCATCATGAAAGTAGGAAAACCATGGAAACATAACAAGCGACATATGAGAGGCATCATACATTCATGAGCCATTTTGATTGCATGATTTGTCAATGATTCTGCCATCAGGCACTCGCCTCTTCTACTTCGCACTTGTGAAAATTGTTTCAAAGGAAGGAAGTAAACTTGGAGATTTCATGCAGAATTAACCCTTTGTAGCTATCACGCATGCTTATGCATATCAACTGGTCACTCCCAACACATGTGCTTCTTACTTTAAATTTTAATGCAACATGGCAACATACATTAAAGTCAATACTTGTAAAAAACATGTACCACTACATGTATATGTAGTTCATAGTATGACATATGAAAAAGCTTTAGTACAATGTGCATGTGTTTACATTATATACACTAAGCTATTATATAAAACCAAACATCCATTTCATGATTGTGCGTTTAAAGTTTTGCCATACATGTAAATGCACCAGCCATGTTGAACAGTGTAGCATTTCAGAGCATAGATGCTGATATTGTAAATACGTGTAAATGTAGCTGCTCAAAAGCAGTACAAAATGTCATTTTTCCATTCGTGTATGAACATGGATGTGCCCTGTTTCACCTTGAGCAGCATGTTTGTGCTTTTGTAATTTCAAGTGCAACTCTGTGAATTCAGGGAGGGAATGACTGGGGACTGACAGCATGGATGAGTCTGGGATCTCTAACAAGCTGTTTGATGACCTGACACCTCAAGCTGAGATCTTCCGCTCCAAGCTCATCGAGGACTTCCACCTCCTGGACAGCCTCGATGTACAGGGACAGTCAGATGCACCCAAATACTACTCCAAAGATCTTGCTGGTGGGTGGATGAACATTTGGGCATATCTGTGGGAAGCTTTTGTGAGATCAAGATACCGATAGGCGTACTAGGCCTTGGAACCTTTACAAATGTACATGTATGTTAACACGTACAGATCGAGTGCTGTCCTGTCCATGAACAATCAGACATGGACCTTGAGCTGAGACTAATCAGCAACTCTGCTCAGCCACCTCATCAGAACCAGCTTAGTAGCCCTTCTTCTTTGCCTCTGTTCCAGTTTGTTCACGAGATGTGTAGTTTACTTCAGGGAACATAAAATTTTTTGAGTAATTTATACATGTATGTTAGTGCCACAGCTTTGAAAAACATACTGTCAGTGATAGATCCAGCATTTACCAAAAAGGTAAGACGTGCCCATTGCGGAAGTGAAATCCAAGCATGTTAGTGCAGTAATTTTTTTTTCATATAGACAAAGTTGCCTGTCTTTGCATGATGTTACCAGTTATCACCAGAACAGAAAAGTAAAAAACAAAAACAAGTGATATACACGTAGGGAGGGGGACATTGTTCTGTTGTGCCCACCCCCATGATAGATCCAGGGGCAAATGGATGCCTTGCCCCCCCCCTCAATAGCAAATGAATTTGTTGGTAAAGAGACAAGGCATGTTTTGCTCATTTCTTTTCAAAAGCCTGCAAAAAGCCTCAGATTGTAGCCTTGATCCCTCAGAAGGGTCATAGAAGGTACTTAACAAGTATCTGAATCCCCCCCCGGAAATTTGGCTCTTGAGCCCACCCTTGGTGTACCATTTGTTACAGTGATTGAAATTTCTTCAGAAAGAATTTTTTGATGTGCAGAAAGTATTTTCTAATATTATATAACTGTCTCTTATTTCCACTGGTCAGATACATTGCATCTGCAGAAGATGATGCTGGACAACCCAGCTGGACTGGTCAAGTTTCAGGTCTACTCCAGTAAGGCTGAGGTCAGTAAGGTCAGCAAGGCTGACCGTCGCAAGAACCGGGTCCGCAACAAGAACTCCAAGAACCCGCCGCTCAATATGTGGGCACATTTTGTCCTGGAGAGTATCCTTTTTGTAACCTTTGTCGGTTCTAAAAGGACAAATTTACTTACCTAATGGGTGCAGTAGCCCAGTTTGATTTCCACTTCAAAAAAACTCTGCCTGCTTTACACTAGAGGGATGCAAGGGGCTCCAACTCGAGGTGAAGCTCATCAAGGTTTATTGTGAAATTATGCCACATTTTAGTGCAAAAGATAAAAAGCTGTGAGTTAAACTACATAAATGAAAATCTATCCAGAAATATTCTGTATACTCCCGAGAGAACTCAGATGGTATTTGAATAGTTTCATGGGCCCAGTGAGCAGGGGTAATAATGAAAAGCACTTTGATATAAGTTAGTTAAAAGTGCTAAGTAAAAGCTGTTGTTGTTTTCTGCATTCGTGTAATAGTAATTTTTTCATTCACTTGTTGAGTTCTCTGTGCTGGTGAAGGGAAGGAGAGTTTGCAGGGGAGGTCAGGTGAATATGATTTACTTTTAAATTGATACGAGAAATCCTTGTTCCGCAGCAAAAAAAATGGGGGTTCTCATTCCATTGTGTTTCTCTTCCATTCTTTTTATTTTGTATCATTTATATCCTTAATTTCATCAACATAATCAAGGTTCCGTCTTTCAGAACTTTATGCTGCTTCTGATTCTTGCAAATTCCATTGCCTTGGGTATACAATCAGGTAGGTCAAGCACTAAAGGAAGAAGTCACTTTTGCACGTATGGTGTGTGAAGGCCTACATGCTATTGTACAAACATGAAATACTGTGCGGAATATCATGGGTGTCACCAGGATTTTTTTGAGGGGGGGTTTCTAGGGGAAAAATTTCCTGGTCAGAAGCATTCATCATTGATCAGCAACAGACTGATGCAATCAGGTAAATCTTTTTCTCAGAGGTGTCAGGAAATGGTAGCCCAAGTCTGGCAGGCCTGAAGCAGGCCCTGGACATCTTCGACTACTGTTCTCTGTTTCTGTTCATGGTGGAGATCATCTTAAAGTGGATAGATGACTTCATCTCTTTCTGGAAGAATGGCTGGAACATCTTTGATTTCTTTGTGACAGTAGGGGTGAGAAGCTTTGTAAAAATTATAGATGTGACAGTCCATGAGTTTAAAAAGAAAGTGAAAAAAGTTTCGGTAAGAACTTGCAAAGAACATGCTGCTGTGGCTACTCCAACTTACGCGAGAATAAAAGTTTCTGTCATCTTTTTAATTAGACGAAAAAAATGCAAAGGCTGATTCAGTTATCGTATCTTTATAGACTCATGCATTCATTTGCTGCGTTTATCCCGAGGTTAAAATTTGTCAAATCCTGCGTGTGTTGCACAGTCGAGAATGCTAGACTGGTGTGATGATTATTTGATTCTGTATAGGTCTATAAAGTTTCACCTTACTTTAAACTTGATGCAGTAGAAAGTTCAGCTTTGAACTCAAGAGTTGCTCTTTTTATCAAATTCAGAGTAATGTAGGTTCAAGTATCATAAAGCCATTCAAGATCTAAGGATCTTTAGTTACCCTTTTAAATTTTGTTGATTTTACATGTAGTTCATGTACATTGCACCTAAGACATAGTTCAGATTTGGGAAGCTTCAAACAAATTAAGGGGTTTTTTTGGTAATAATATTATGACATTTTTTAAAGAGTGGCTTTTTTTCCTGCAGTCATTTGTCCCCGAGATCATCGTGCTCACTGTTGGAGACCTGAAGGAGCTGCGAGTCATTGTGAGTAATCTCCGAGTCTTCCGCATCCTGCGCTCACTCAAGATGGTGTCTCGCTTCCAGCAAGCGAGACTGATTGCTCTGGCTATCACCAAGGCCTTCAAGGTGAATTTTATAAGCATAGACTATGGGGGCGGGAGGAACTCACTTTCATGTCTAGACTGGTGTGATGAGAAGTAAGCAGAATCAAGCGTATTTAATTGACCAATCACAGTAGAATCTCATCAAATTTTCCAATGTCCCTTACAAAATGGATTTGGGACACATAAAATCTTAGAGAAACAAAACCCAATGCGTTAAATTCCACCAGGATATCTAAGGGGCAACAAACCTGCAGACAGTGATAGCTCAGTTTGGTTGGATGTGTGGCAAAATTTCCACAATTGCACTGTTTGAAATATTCAGCCAGTACCTTACAACTTGTCACACAAAAGAAATGTTTTTGCAAATCTTTTTCCGGGAATGATCACCTGAAAATATCAAACATGATAGATATTTTGCAGTGGATTATAAATTAATGTATTTAAACTTCCTGGGATGTGATCTACTTGCTAATTGGCACTGTTTGTCTGAAATTAATGTGGAGGCCAGAAGGTGTGAAAACGTAAAATATTTAAATTTTTGAAGATTCCGCTTCCACATATTTTTGTTATTTATTTTTTTTACATTGAAATATTTTCATGGGTACACCCTTTGTGAGAGACTATATTTGATTGAAGGCTCAACCCCATGTGTAGATGTTATCAGTGGCCTGGCTGTTGGTCAAGTCCAAATTTTTGCCCATTGGCTCGGTGGCTTTGGTCTGACCTAGGGTTTGTCAAGTGAACCATTACTAGTCTGATGAAGGGATGAATCGGCACAAGCACGTGACCATTGAATCTCAGTAGTGATTTGTATTTTTTTGTTAACATTTGTACTTCAATCCAATGCATTTGAGACCTCCCACTTCTCTTCCCGCCTCCCCCACTAGGCGATGACGTTTATCATGCTGCTGCTTCTCTTGTTCGCTTACATCTTTGCCATCGCAGGGGTCATTTTCTTTGACAGCTACACCAGATCCGATCGGGAAGATCTGCAGTATAAGGACAGCTTCAGGTAAAGAGGAGCACAAAGCATAATATATGGCTTTATAAGGCACCAGTTTATGTGCTTCAGGGCAGTCAAAATGTGTTCAGTTTTTAGAATTATAATACAGATATTTCCAGCTCTCTATTAATCACTTCATGCCGTATGATGTCTTTACACATTTCAAGAAATTCTGTGTGTGGTGCTGCTTGACATCTATACTTGTGCACAGGCTTGAGTGGTTACCATACACACAGGCTGAAAATAGTCTGTGGACGTTAAATGTGTGTGCTGTCCTCAATCGGCCTTGGGCCAATTAGGCCAGGTGCGGTGGTGAATTGCTCTGTGACATAGTCACAGAGTTTTAAAAAGTAACATGGTAAGGATGTCAAACAAATTCTGAACAAATGACCACTAAGGGTCAGCATTTTTATTAGTCCAACTTTGTCAAGGATTGTGTGTGATTGTGGTACAGTACTAAGCATTTTGTCAATTTACAAAATTAGTGTTTTCAGTCGAAAATGATACTGTGTCTGAGACAAGTGCGATGTTGAACAATACATTCAGTATGGGGATAAGAAATCAACTTTTGGCCGTGTATGTAAGTTTTATACTCTTATGTTGCTTTCTTGCCCTTTTCTTCCCCTGGTACCCTGCAGCACTATTACCCGTGCACTGATCACACTGTTCCAGCTCTTCACATTGGACCAATGGTACAAGGTCCTGATGGACATGTGGAAGGTTGCCGACCGCTTCTTCACCACCTTTTACCTCATGCTGTGGATTTGCATTGGTTCCTTCATCTTCCGCAACATCTTTGTTGGGATAATGGGTGAGGGACCTACATGTAACAGTTTTGAATCCTCCAATATGACGGTATACACACTCTGTAGCCTGAGGAGTTAACACAAATTAACGTATAACGCAAATTGTGTGGCAGCCATACAGGGTTGCAGATGTGCAATGGGCATTGAGCTGGACCAAAAGGGCACGGTTTTCTAAGCAACAGAGACTCCTTTGGTCGGAATTGAACTTCGCTGGTTCACGAATGACTAGGGAATGTATGTGATATGATCACATTACTACTAACAAAATGAACACATCCAACCAACATGGCTCGTTTCAACCGATGAGGGTGTGCTGTTTAATTTGACCAAAGGGGTTGCCAAATCCACTTGTACATACATGCATGTATGCAAGCAAGGCACAGCCTTAGAAATCTATGTATTGTTGTGTAGTTATATTACTCAGTAATAGTGAGGGTGCTAAACATCACTGTTACCCCTGCACATCATACCCACAAAGAAATCCTAAGCTTTCCTTGGCTTAATTAGTAAACATTTAACCATTTGATACAGACTTTTAGTGTCCCATTAAAGTGATCTGAAACAAGTGGTTCATTGTTTGTTTTGCATGTGTATGCATTTTGATTCACTTGATCCTTTGTTGTTATTGGTTTTTGTTCTCCTTTATATAAGTCAACAATTTTCAGTCCATCCGGAATGACCTTTTTGATGAGGTGAAAGGTCATGAAGAGACCAGGCAGATTGCACGTAATGCTGAAAAGTTCAATGAAGAGCTGACAAAGCAAGACCAGAAGCTGAAGGCAAGGTTAGATAGACGTAAAAACAACTCTCTAACAGCTGAGGAGGAGAAAAGCCATGCTCAAATTGACACATGAAATTGACAGTCCTTTGGAGTGCATTCACCGCATAGGCATGCAAGTGTACACGTTTGATGCGGAGCACGCTTAGTACACGTAACAAATTTGGTCTGGAATGTATGGTCTCATGAGATACTCATGTTTATATTAAAACAAAAATGACACTAAATCTTTATGATAAATCAGTTTGTATAGAATTGTTTTCTTGTCTCATCAAAGTCCTAAGGAGAGTTTCTGTTTCTGTTGAGTTTCCAGGCCTTCAAAATGATACCTTTGCTATAATCTCTTCCTCCGGAATTCCTAAAAACAATACATGTGTTTATTTTTCCAAGACGCATGACGATCATTGCCAATCAGCAGTTGCTTGCTGAAGCAGCCCAGGCAGGCAGACAGGAACAACCTCACGGCTCAACCAGAACAGATGATATCAGGTGCACCATATGACCATTTTTCAGTCTTGCATGCTCCACCCCTTCATCGGCACCATCCCTCTTCCTCAGCCTTTTTTCCAAGAAGGCAGTTAAAATATAACTGGGTAATTCCAGAAATTAGGGGTCCTTTTTTTTCAAGTCCCTGTCACATCTGACATATGGTTTCATTCATTTTCTAATTTCCAAGAGTGATGAATTCATGCAAATTACATGCCAAACAAATACTATGAAATCAATTCCGGTGGTATTTTCATGTCAAATAACAAAGGTCAGATGTAACAGGGACATGAAAGTGTCACACTTTTGGACCCCTAATTTCTGGAATTACCAAACTAGTAACCACTCGTGAATGGTGTTACTTTCTGTCTAGAAAACCTCATTCTTGAGAAGAAGCAGACGGTACATGTATGTTTGTCAACTTTTCAAATACAGCCCATCACCACAAAAACTAATTCATGGAAGTCATTTACATATGACATGAACATGGGCGATATTTTCTGAGGCTCTGCTGCAGAGCAATGTGTGCCACAATAGTAGGCTATGTGTTGAGTTAACGTACAACAGACTCCACTGATTTTGTTTTTGCAAAATAAATGAAGTATTAGACGCGATTGACCATCCTCCCTCAAGTACCAACTGAGAACACTTGTTTAACCTGCTATCCGTACCTTTGAATACAAGTTGCTAAATTATATTCTCAAATCTTCTGGCGTGAACTGGTTATGTGACCTGGTGCTCCTCTCTTCGGAAGGAAATTTGTAGTGTGCTGTAAACAAACTTTGCCCGTCCTAGAAACCCACTTTTACTGTCAGTTCGCACTGAGATTGTACAGCTTGTCCAGTTTACATCCAGTGGTTTTATTGCTTAAAAAACATTGTTGCTTTGTAGTTAGGTTCCAAAGGGGCTGATAAATCGACCAAGTCAAACAAAATCACACAAAATAGGTCAACAGTCATTTGTCACTGCAGCTTATATTGCATCAACGAATTTGCTTAATATGATCAGATTTCCAAAAGAAGTTGCATTTTGATAATTGAATTTTACTAAACTGCAGACATGAGGACCAGCCGTTTGCCAATTCTTTTTATATTGTGGTTTTTCTATGGCCCCAGTACATTTGGTGCAGAGACTGATAGAAGATCTTCGGAAGACTCCATTGGCAGGTAATACATTCCATGGTTTTATATTTTGTTGTTTGCAGTGAAATTATACTATACTGTAGGCTCTTCTTGACCCGCAGTACAGTGTTGGAGTGAGCAATGCAAATTCCGCAACGTACACTGATAATAACTACAAAAGGCCTTCTGCAGACACTGTTGATCACGTTCAAATATGGAAATTATCTGGAGAGGAGGAATTCAAAATTACCTAAAATCTATTCATTAACTTAAATCTGTCACAGATGTCCAAGAATGTACGTGTAGGGTGACAGACATCAGAGTTTTTGTTTTGTGGGCTGTGGTGTGCATCAGAGTGCAAATGGCAAAATAGGAGGGACTGATTTTCAACTTCAATTCTGGCTCCCGCTGAGCAGAGAGGAGAAACCAGTGCTATATTCAAGTCCATCACAAGTCATTCAGTCTTAAGCCAATTCAAAAGCTATTCAAATGAACTGTGACAAAAGCATTCCTTTGTCATTGCTCACCCTTACTTACTGTTACTTATAAACTGGCATTGTGAAGGGACTTGTGACTGGACTTGTGATGGACTCGAATACAACACTGGGAGAAACAGTGGGAAAGATTTCATAACTAGTGAACTGCATATTGTGGAGAACATTCTTTTCAACAGAAATCAATTGTGCATTCTTAGTGCATCCCATGCCAGATGGAGATGCGCACATGGTTTTCCATTTCTTGCCAAGAAACGTAATTCGGGGGTGAAATTTGTCAGGATTTTTCTAGACTTCTAGATTTTTGAAAAAAAATGTATTGAGGACTTACAGTGTTTTTACTTGGCATGGCATTGCTGGAACTAAAAGTAGTATTTTCCAAATTTCACACAAAAGTGAATGCAGCTAGGACTTGTACAAGTTAAAGTTTTAATAGTGCACGCACTCTTGCGTTGTTACTTCCACTGGAATGTAATAGAATACCACCGCTAGAATACTACTGAACAGTGGAGGTATATGGTATTGAAAACTTAGGTGCCATTTAATGATTTTCATTCAGTTGTTGGGGAGATCTTTAACTTGAAAATGACTTAAAAATCCATGGAAATTTTTGTGGCTTGAAGGTCACGTGCATTTTTACAATGGAACTCCTAGTTCCTGTAAATATCCATCATCTCCCACTATAGCAGTGTATGTGAACTTGTGACCTTCCCAAGTTGTTTGTTTTAGGGAAGGGAAACTTCTGGAAGGGTGTAGGAACATTGTTTACATGTCAGCAGAGGATCACTGGCAACTATAGAGAACTTTCGACAGTTTGTAGAAATTTGTTTGATTTCTAGAAATTTTACTTGTTTGTAATTTCTTGTAGGTTTCCATAATTGTATCTTGAATGGTTTCTCTCAAGTGACGTACTGTATCCCTTCCTACAAACTGCCATTAACATTGTCAAATTTCATCACGGGCTATATATCAATCAACATGCACGTAGTTATAGAACATTTGCACACAACATGTACATTCACCTGATGGTGATGGTGTAGAATATGCACATTCACATGTACAATTGTATTTTCCTATGAAAGGCTCTACATTCTTCATGAGTTTGAATCAGGACTTTGTCAGAAGGTCTTAAGGATTCATTCTGTTAGCATGTTTAGAGTATATCATCATACATTAAAGACAAGGACCACGGTGTTTCACTGAGAGCAAATGAGTGAAGCTGTACTAAATGCCAGAGCTCCATTGGAGGGACTGAATGTTCCCATGATTTATAAATGAGGTTTTATACTCTAGTAGAACTGCTGCTTTTAAAAAGTTTGGACTTTGTTCATGGTTTTAAGCCACATATGCAACCAGTGTACAGGTTTCTTATGCTGCGGTTCATTCTTCGGCGCATTAATACCCAGTGCACTATTTCAGTCTTATTTGATTTCTTTGTAACATCCAAGAAAATTCATACTCACACCAAGGACAAGAATATGCTTATGCTGCAGCCCCACAAAGTATGAATGATCCTACCGGTAATGATGTCAAGATTCCAGAATGGATCCCTGACAGTCCTGTGTGGGACTTGTTTGGGTATGAGGTACCATCTAGCTTTCAGCAACTGGAAAGACATAAAGTATTGTCCATCTAATTTCTGTTGTTGAATACATACATGAACAACAGTGTTTGGCTTCTTTTCTGTGTTGAGTTCCTACACGTATAAAGGGACTTATAATTTTAAGCTTCGTAAAGAATACTGTTTAGATCTGAAGTCTGATGGGAATTGATTACAATTCCAAAAAGTTTGTTTTTGTAAAATCTTTGGCATCAAAAACAGTATGTACAGTAGCCTGTAAAAGTTGGCTATTTCCAGGGTGAAGGGAAATCTCTACAGTACTATTTTACACTGTTTCTTTATAATTTTTGCAGCCTGTTCATGTCTGAAATTTAGCCATGCACATTGTATCAAACTTGCATGTGTTTGTGTGCTATTGCATCAGTGGAAGGTCTTTTTGATTATATCTACGTAATTAATGTTTCCAGGTTTGGATTTGTGGAAAGGTGTTTTCTTTTTGCTGATGGCAAAATTCTGTCAAGATCAAAGTTCTGGGTCCTCTCTTCTGTATGACAACATTGTGTCTGGAAGTACATGTAACCCCATTTTTCACTTTTCATCAAGGATGAAATGTGTGCTCCACACAACTTACATCCAGCAATGAAGGGTAAACAAGGGTTTTGTGATTTTCATGAAGAAAGTCATGAATTCATCCTGGAAATTTTGCACCTGGCGTGCAGAATGGCAACAGCACAAGCACTGCAAATATGTTTTCCTTGGTTTTGAGTTTTCATTAAAGACCATAATTGTGGGTGAATAAATAAACCTGAAGTACAGTACAGTTCAGTTTCACACTCAGCAATACAGTACAGTTTCTTTGACAGTTACTTTTAGGATGCATGGAGAATTTGTCGCTTTGCGAAAATGGTGAGGATATTTGGAGATACATATGTGAATTTTGCAGTACTCTTGTAATGTCATAGATTTTCACTTGAGATTGACCTGACACAGACACCCAGTCCTGCACATAATCCCCCCCCCCAAAAAAAAAAGCTGGCGTAAACTTGCGGAGTCGTGTCAGAGTCAGATAACAATTTCATGATTTGAAGATTTTAGTGCCATTTTCTGTTCTCGTAGTTGGAGATCTTGTTTTGTCTTTGTTGATACCTTTAGTGAAGATAATTTTAATTGGGAAAAATCTCGGAACCTTCTTTTGTAGAGGAGATGGGTGTTTAAATGGTTTTGTCAATGCCATTTCTGATTTCTTGAAGCTGATTTCTGATTTCTTTGGCAATCCAGATGATACTGTGTGTATTAACCCCATAGAGTTGGATCCAACTCTATGATTAACCCCCATCATGATGACAGCAATTCTTTTTTGTACAAAGTTACAAGGTTTACAGAATGCATACATGTATGATTAAGTTTTTTGCATATCCACAAATGAGAGCCCCAATGGCAGCAGAGCAGTTTTTTCTCAAGTAAGGCAGCTAGTTCTGACGCTATCAGCCATCAGCGATTAATAGACTGATCTACTACATGTAAGTCCCACCCCACTGCAGGAGTAGGGGGATGTCCTCCATGTTGAGAAATTAGGGGACTGCCACTCCCCCATTCACTGCCAGTGGAGAATCCCCATCCTGTCAAAACAAAAAAAGTTGGTTTGTGATGTTAAGTGTCATGGTCATTCAGAATTTGCAATAGCAATGAGGGAGTGAACAAATGAAAGGCATTAACCTGTTAAGAAATTTGAAGGTGACATTTGTTTTTACAAGTGAGAAAGTTCCTGTACCAACTTTGATCATTCCAGTATTGGGGGTTAGGGAAAGGAAATGTGTTGATGGTTTAAGGACATATTTTTGTAACCACTTTGCTATGGAGGACTGCTACTACCGCACCATTGTGTGAGGATTAGTGCATACGACACATACATTTTATTCCTTAAAAGTGAATTTCTTCTCCTATTTGTAGTGACTTTTTACATTTATCTGTGAAGGTTTTTTGGTCTCTTTATAGTTAGTGTTTCATCAGCTATCAAAGAGAAATGCGTTTTTTGCATGTGAATTCGGTTCAACCATTTTTCCAGTTTACAGATGGTGAGGGTCTTGTAGACATTGAACATTCTGAACATTGCCAAGTAGTTTATATGCTGGTATCTTGTAATTTCAAAAGACACTCAGTGCACTTAATACCGGTACTTGTGCCTTGAAGGAAGCCTTTTGGCTGGGAAACAACACAGTACTGTACCTTTGCTGAGCTATGTGCCCCACAGGTCTTCTATCCGTATTTCCTCTTGATGCTGAGAAGTTGGCATTATCTTCAGGCTGACTCCAGTGCAGACAGAGTTCTGGAGGATGTCATTGTTCATTGTACACTTGCTATGGTTGCGAGGAGTTTTTGCCACAGACTTTTGTATCTGCTGATTTAAAAATCGATATCCCACTATTTATTGTACAAGAACAAAGCACCACAGTGGCATTGAATCCTGTAGCACAACTCTCCTGTCCGACACGGCACTTTACTTGCCGACCATGCCCACAATCACTGTTGGCCATTGTAGCCCCCGTCGCTGTGGCAGTGATCCTAGCAGTAGCAGTGATAGTCCTCACCACCTTGCTCCTGTGGCAAAGAAAACATCTTCGGAAGTCTCTGTCAGGTATGACAGAAACTAGCAACGAGTACAACAACGCTGAAGGCAAGAAAATAGAAGGCCACACATTGCTAGAATATGCTTATGCTGCATCCTGTAAAGATGAGATTACAAGTGACGTGTATGATAATATCTCTCCTGGCACATCAAGGCAGGGTGGTCCTTTGACCTCAGAGTACCTTGAATTGAAGGACTCTTCTGCTCGCCTGAAATCCAGGAGTATGCTTATTCATCAGCTGTTCCAGTGAGCATGAATGATACTGTCACACTGGATGACCAGTACAAGAATGTTCCAATGGGCAAAGTTGCCAAGATGAAGCAGATCTCTGGTGGTCTGTGCGGAACTCATCTTGAGGTATAA